GGGTGATGGCACAGGCCACATCGGACCTCCCTGGAAAGGCGAAAGGCTGGGGGGCTGCTGGGCTGGGGGCATTGGGGGTCCCCAAGCAGGGAACAGTGGGGCTCGGGGCTCCCCAGGCAGGGGACTTGGGTGTCCCCAGGCTGTCAGGGAGGAAGCCCAGCATCGTCCCGGTGCCCCAGCCGGGAGCGTGGCAGCACAGACACCCCACAGCCCTCACCTTGCCGCTGCGTTGCAGTCGTTTGCAAGCGTTTCTTTGGCATTTCCCCCTCAAAAGCTGGTGGGAGGATGTGCTGGAGCTCTGCTCCCTCCCACGCTCCTGCTGACACTTTCCAGGTACCCTGCTGCAGAGGCAAGGGGCTGGGCTCCGTGTCAGCCACCCCTTCGGTCCTCTCAGCTCGGCCAGGGGACAGCAATAGCCTCATTCTTTTTTAGGGAACATGATCTGGCCCTCTCCAGCCTCTGGGTACCACTGTGCCTCTTGGCTTCGTCCCCAGGAGTGAGGCATAGCCCATGCAAAGAGGCGAGGGGATGGTAAACTCCACGCTACCTCCGTCTGCGTGGAACTCTCCCTTATTGAATCTCATTTAATGGGCTGCCCGCACTGAATCCACTTACAGCCCATCCACTCATTAGTGTCATACAAATAGAATGAAATACATGTAAATAAAGACCTTCTGCCTTGCACGCAGCTGTTTTGGAGCAGAAGTGATCCTCGCCTCAGTCTTTTTCCCTTCCTCTCTCACGCACGCAGCAGAGCTGGGGCTTAATGAACTAGATGTGACGCGAACAGAGGCAGCGAGAGCCACCCGCGCTAGAGGAGGGCAGGGAAATGAGGCCGAAGAGAAGGTTAGCTCTGCGTCTGAGGAGCACATCTGCTCTGCCTGCGCTCAGAGACCCGGTCTGGGCTGTCAGCGTGATGCCACCGCTGGTCCCTGGCTCCTCAGTGTTGCTTCTCTGAGGATCCCGTGGGCTCTGCTGTAGCCCCCTTGCCCCCTTGCTGTGCCTGGGTGTCCAGCACCTCTGGTGGGGTCTTACTGGGTTGTAATGGCTATCCACAGACCTGGCTTTTGGTGGAGGGGGATGCTGAGCTGTGCTGCTGGTGGGAAGCACAATGGGGAGAGGGGCAGGAGGGCTGAGACGCAGCTGAGTAGAGGTTTCTAAGTAAACTCTGCCTGGCTGGACACGTCTGTGAGCTTTCTCCTCTATCCTGCAGCCACTGCATCCAGCAGATCCTGGAGGCTGTCCTGCATTGCCACCAGATGGGGGTGGTCCACCGGGATCTGAAGGTAGGAGCTGCATGGGAGGGAGGATATGGAGACCCCATCTGTGATGCAAATCCCTGTGGAGCCAGGTCCGGTGTCCTCCAGAGCAGCTGAAACAGCAGGGAGGAACACTATGTAGGGATCCTGGAAAGCCACGGACCAAAGACCAGCTCCAGGGTGAAATAACACAAGGGAGAGGGGGTAGGGAGGTCCTTGTAGTCCGTGGTCCTCTGAGGATCCAGGGACACTGGGACACACAGCTGGACAAAGTTGGGGAGCACTTCCAGAGCTCTGACTTCCTCTGTGCTGTGCTGGGAAGTCCCCCACCCCATGCCAGCTCCTGGGGGACTTTGCCTGCTCTCCAACCCCCATGTCCTCCTGCAGCCCGAGAACCTGCTGCTGGCATCCAAGCTGAAAGGTGCTGCCGTCAAACTGGCTGACTTTGGCCTCGCCATCGAGGTGGAGGGGGACCAGCAAGCGTGGTTTGGTGAGTAGGACCGGGGCATCCTCCAGCCCTCGGTGGCATGTTTGGTCAGGGGAGGCTCCGGGAGGGACACGCATCCCCAAGAACTGCACCCCAGGCTATGGGATGCCCAAATGGGAGCATTGTGGCAGCACCAGCCTAGGAGGCACTGTGGGTGTGTGGGAGTTCAACGGCTCCAGCTGTGCTCCTGGAAACACACGGTATCAATCTAGGACACAAACAGCTCCACAGGGACTCGGTGAGTCACCAAGATGTTCAGGTGAGCTGGACAAGCTGATGGCAGGGGCAGATCAAGGAAGGAAAGCCACATCCAAGTGCTGGAGGTGCACACCAGAGCATCCCAGCCTTCTGTGTCATCATGGGATTTGGATGCTGCCGCTGGCAGGAAGCCATGGCTTGCTCTGCTCTCAGGAGTCGCAGGAATTTCTGGAAGGAGAGAGCCTGTCCTGCTGGCTTGGCATGTGCATTCCCTTGGGATGGGAGTTGCCTGCTGGTGGTGCCTGACGGGCTCTCTGTTCCAGGTTTTGCTGGCACCCCGGGATACCTCTCCCCTGAGGTGCTCCGGAAGGACCCCTACGGCAAAGCCGTGGACCTGTGGGCTTGCGGTAAGTCAGCCTGGGCTGAAATGCGGGGAGCTGGCTGGACTGGGCTGTGTGGGGTGAGACAGGGTGTCGACCCAGTGTGTCTTGAGTCACGGCTTCTAGACACATCTCGAGGAGGTCAGGGATGAAGATTTACCCAAGTGGTGGCACCTGGGCTGTCCCTACAGCAGCACTCTCTTTCCCAGTCCAGTGGCACCCTTCCCTGGAGGAGCAGCCTCCTTGTCATTCACCCAAAGCCCGCAGGCAGGGGAGATGACAGCTCTTCTGCACTGAGGCTGTGCGTGGTGGCTGCCAGAGCCACGTGTCCGGATAAGCCACATATCTCCCTGGCCGCTGAGCACGTTGGCATGGAGCTGGTGCCACCAGCAAGCCTCTTGCTTTTTAATCAGTGAACAAATCCTCCCATTTCCCTAATTTCTCAATTTCGCTGCTTGAGCTGGGCCAGTCCTCAGGTTGGCTCTGCTCATACCTCCAGCAATGAACTCTGCCCACTGATCCCATGTCTCTGCTCCTTCTCCTGGGCAGGTGTCATCCTCTACATCCTGCTCGTCGGGTACCCGCCCTTTTGGGATGAAGACCAGCACCGACTCTACCAGCAGATCAAGGCTGGGGCTTACGATGTGAGTGGGTTTGCCTTGCTCCCCCCTGTCATGGTCTCCCCTCTCTCCTGCTGACCCTCTCTGGTCACAGAAGGCTGGCCAAGCTGCCATGCCCAAGTGCACACACTGGCACTTTTTCCGTCCCTTTTGCAGGACAGATAGTCTTGTCCCGGGCCTTCCAACTTTCTCCCTCCATCCCTGCTCACTGGTAGCTCTTTCCAGTTGCTGCTGTCTCTCCAACCATGCAAAGGGTCGCAGGAGAACCAACGTGCCAAAGTGCTTCTGCTCCTTCCATCGCTCCTTGCCCCCTCTCACCTTGCTCCCTTTGCTCGGCAGTTCCCCTCCCCGGAGTGGGACACGGTCACTCCTGAAGCGAAAGATCTCATCAACAAGATGTTGACCATCAACCCATCCAAGCGCATCACGGCAGCGGAGGCCCTCAAGCACCCCTGGATATCGGTGAGTCTGGTGGCACTCACGAGCTGGGGTCGAAGGTCTAGGGTTCCGTAAAGGGGCAACATCTTGTTACCAAACATGCTGTCTGCCTCCTTTGCCATCCTGGGAAGATGGTTTCCTGGCATGGATCCTCCAAGTGGTCCCAGAGCAGCCTTTTCCTTGAGGCTTTACAGCAGGGAAAAGCCTGGAGTGTGAATTCAAACAGCGTGTCCCGGGGGGGCTGGGGGTGGGAGGGACACTGCGTTCCCAGCCCTGAGGGGGACAGGCTGGGTGCTTGGTGTCATGCTGTGCTGGGGGAGGCCTTTCCTTGGGGAAGGTGGGAGCAAGCTTGTGTTTATCTGTCCGTCC